GTGTGTCCACACATTGTGTTCCAGTGCTGATCAAGCTTTCATCCACATATAACTTGAAGGAATGCACACTGGGAGATGAAAATGGGAATGAAAAAAGGTGACACTCCTTGTGTCAACACCTGCATCAGAGGCACTCCTGGATATTTCAAAATTCTTAAGGGGTCTGTCTAATTACCCAAAGCTACCCAAACTTACTCAAAGCTACACAAAGCTTCCTAGCATTACATTAGTAATGAATAAATATGATATATTTATTCATGATAATGTTGGTGCTGAATGTAGAACATGAAAAACATTTTTTTACTCTGAAAAAGTATCATTTTATAACAAAATTAGACAAAAATTAGAAGCTGGTGACGCCAAAGCAAGTCGACAGTCCAACCGACAATGTTTGCTGGCATATGAGCCTCCTGTACCTACCTAACCTAACCAATCTACCCAAATATAATATAACCTAACTAAACCTAACCTATCCAAACATAACTTAATTAATATAACCTCTAGGAAACAATATATCTTGAATAATTTGTTCATCTTGGATAAGTTGCTCCACAACATTGTCGCTTAGATCGTCGACTAACTGTGGCCTCTCATGCCACTTAGTTTCATCTAATTTTGTTATAAATTTATATTATTTCAGACTAAAAATGTGTTTTTTCATGTTCTACATTCAATACCAACAATATAGTGAGTAAATATATCATATTACTTCATTACTTACATAATACTAGAAAGCTTTGGGTAGCTTTGAGCAAATTTGAGTAGCTTTGAGCAAATTTGAGTAGCTTTGGGTAATTAGATGGACCGTTCCAAAGTATTGTAGAACAGGTTAATGATAGTGAGTGGTGTCCCAAGGAACATAAAGGTATGGTGCTTTTGAAAAATAGACAAGATAACTCGAATGTGCCAGGGTACGTGAAATAATTGGATGACAAAAAGTTGCCCTAGTGTTAACAGTGCAGACGACGACATTCAAGATAGCCGCCGGCAAGAAGGAAAACAAAACAGAGCTAGAGTTTGGTGATTTCAATGAAGAAAGCACTGATATAAGCAGTCTACACAACAAGTTGGTAAAATTAGATATTATAGTGAACTCTCATGAAGAAATAACCAGCAAATTGAGAGAAAGTAATGACCATTTGAATAGCTAAGTATTAGGTCTTGAGGGTTTAGTGAAAGACTTATGCAAGGACAAAAATCAATTGGAAACAAATTGCAAAACCATGGAAGAGGAAAGCAAACTCTTGAAAATAGCATTGGGAGAAGTTAAAGCAAATTTAAATGTAAATGACTGCAATAAGTTAGGTAAGGAAATCCAACAGGAAAAACAGCTTTTGTCAGCACAGATGGAGGACGTTACACAGGGAATAGAACAGTGCAAGAAAGATATGCAACTCACCTATGCACAAGTGGCCAAGGAGAAGGAAAAAATTGAAGAAACAGTAAAGGAAACCAAACACTGCAGCAACCAAGATAAAACAAGCAATAGGCTGGAAGTCAGAAAGGGACTGGCATCAAATCCTAAATTGGTGCAAAGCACAGTTGATCAAAGTAAGTCCCTGATAAATTTTGGTTGCAAAGAAAAGGAGATAACATCTAGGTCGAAAAGAGCTGTAGAAAAAGCTAAAGTAGTAGATAAAATTGTTGGGCTAGTGGAAGGTCTGACAACCATAGAGAATGTCTGCAACTACAAGATAATTGGAAAAGATCGACCTTTGAGGATCACCCTAAACGGCGCCAAACAGATGGAAGAAGTACTAAGGAATGATAGAAAATTACAAAGTGATGAGGAAGGGAAAGTATGGTCGTCAAGACGAGATCTTTCAAAAGATGTCAGAGTGAAGCTGAAACTGAACCACGTCGAGGCAAAACGTCTAAATGAGAGCAGGAATGAAGAAATCAATTCTTTTTTTCTACAAAGTGATAGGGGTAGGCAGGTCAGTAAAATGGTACAAAAAGGCAAACCAATAAAATCACTAGAGAAAGGGGTAGTGAAGAATAAGGAGGGAAGAACATGTTCCTGAAAATTGCATACACCAACATAGATGGAGTGAGATCAAAGATACTGGAGTTAAGTGATGTAATACAGCTGCAGACACCAGACATTGTTGCACTCACGGAGACAAAACTTGAAGATGATATTTTAAATGAGGTCATATTCCCAAGGGGCTACTCAATTTGGAGACGGGACAGAAAAATTAGGAAAGGAGGTGGCATTGCTGTGATGGTGAAAGAACACCTAAAGGTAAACGAAATAATGATTGCCAATCCATAAGAAGTTGATATAATAGCACTAGAGATCTGCATTCAGGATGATAAACTAACGATCATAAATGCATATAGTCCACCGCCAAGCAACACATGGACAAAGGAGGAGCTGGATAATAAACGAGAGGGTCTTATAACAATAATGAGAGAGATTATAGCAAGAGCGGATGAAGATAGATCACGACTGTTGGTAGTTGGCGACTTTAACTTGAAATCCATAGACTAGGAGGCATATGAAGCTAGAACAGAGGACTTTTGGACCTGTAGATTCGTAAACCTCATCCTGGAAACATTCATGTATCAACATATTAACACTATCGCGCACGGCGCGTGAGCACCGCAGACTTTGACGTCATGCGGCGGGCGAGCGTGCGGCGACGCCTAAATGTGTATACTCGTTTCAGTTTTCTCATCTTAATTCTCGTACTGCGTCATTCTTTTTGGTATCATTGTGTTCATAATGGAATTGCCTACAGGTGTATATGCATATAATGTCCAAAAGCCCGGCATGACTCCCCACAGCAAAGCCTAAAGTCGGCAAAAGTTACCTGTGAGCGCTCAAAATCAGTAAAATGTGTATACTCATTTCAGTTTTCTCACCTTAATTCTCGTGCTAAGTCGTTCATTTTAGTATCATTGTGTTCACAATTAAATTCCCTGCAGGTGTATATGCATGTAATGTCCAAAAGCCTGGCGAGACTCCCTGCAGCAAAGCCTACAGTTACCCGCGAACTTGCACTAGTTTGCAACCTTATGTGTATACTCGTTCAGTTTGATAGCATCAATTTTCGTGTTACGTCGCTCGTTTTGGTATCAAATTGTTCGCAATATAAAGGCGAGCATTTTAAAACTAGTCTCATAATAATAGAGCAATAACTGGAATTTTAACAAATATTTTAATTTTGGACGCTCATCATCACATAATTATTTATATCTTTCTAGTGTTCTGACATCAATTTTCGTGTTACGTCGCTCGTTTTGGTATCAAATTGTTTGCAATCTAAAGGTGTGCATTTTAAAACTAGTCCCATAATAATAGCACAATAAATAGAATTTTAACAAATATTTTAAAATTTAAAATTTAGACCCAAAAATATATTTATGATCTTTCAAGTGTTCTGACATCAAGTTTCGTGTTACATCTTTCATTTTGGGATCAAATTGTGTGCACTCTAAAGGCGCTTATTTTGAAACTATCCCGAGGTCGATCGGATAAAAAAGGAATTTTATACAAATATTTTTGGAGTGGACGCGAGTTCTGTCTACGGCTAGGACTCGAGAGAAAAAAAAGTGGACGTGATTGGTGTCCAAAGCGAGTGATAATGTTAAACAAACTACAAGGATGAAGGAAGGGGATGTTCCCTCCGTGCTGGATTTGACATTTACGAGGAAAGAGAAAGAGATCTTTGACATCCAGTACCTGCCTCCCTTGGGTAAAAGTGACCATGTCTTTTTGGGAATAAAGTATGCAATGCATTATAATCTGGAAGAAAATAAAGAGGTTGAAGCAGTTGAAAAACCTGATTTCAGGAGAGGACATTATGAAGAACTTAGAAATTTCTTTAACCACTGAACTGCGCAACGAGCCTGTAGGTGCTCGACGAGTGGTGTGCAACGCACCTCAGGAATGTTATAGGTATAACTTATATGATAACGTATATATAGGTATATGATTCAAAACACTCGCGGCTACATGGGGGTTCACATCAGCTTCCTAAGGGCTCTTGTAAACAGATGACATTTAAAAAAAAAAATTGTGGGCAGCATTCCTGGGTGTGAGAGCCTCAATATTGAGTGAGCGACCAAGGCTGATGCACGCAGCATGAGCTCTCAGCACTGCTGTTCAGCTTGTGACCACAGCATTGCCTAATAATGTCAAAATATATGTGTAACTGGTATTATTTAGCCATGATAGTATTACAAAAGAGCCTGAGTGTGTTAATGACTTTGTACAACGTTCAAATATCAGTGAATCAATGCTGTTCAAGATGTTCGCAGTGCTAGCCACATCACCACAGCATTATTTTGTCCATCTAGTCCATCTAGGAATCTTCAAACGACTTCGTATGTTCCTTTACAAAATAAACTTGTGGTCAATTATTCATTTACAGGATTAAGTGACCAGGATTAGGATAATTGCAAAATTGTGGTGATAATTAGTGTTGTGCATAGTATTGTGGGAGGAGGAATTTTGGTGAGGGAGGGAATCGAGGTAGCGTCACTGCGTGTGGCAGCCACTCTTGTTTTGCTCACCATACTAGCTTAGTGGTTCGCTATTGTGAACACATGTACATGGGTATATACAATGTTTGTATATAGTGTAATAAATACAACAGCAGTATGTTGGAAGGAGCCATTTTGGTGAGGGAGGTGGCGTCGTACTCGTAGAGTCGTTGTCTGTGTGACTTGTCATGCAGTTGGCCACTGTGCTGTTGGGCACAATACCAGCTTAGTTGTATAGTTGTGGTGAATAAAACATGTAGATACTTATATATAACGTGTGTAAATAGCTTAATAAAAACATTAACAGTATGGTGGGAGGAGTAAATATGTTGGCGAGTAAGGTGCTGGAGGAGTAAGAGAGGGCTGGTTGGGTGTGGCAGCTCACACTCGTGGAGTTCTGAGTGTGTTGATGGTGAATGTATATAGTGTGTGATAGTGTATAGTATGTAAATATACATAAATGAACATGAAACATTAGATATATGAGCAATATATGTGGACACATTTGT